AATACTGATATTTGGTTCTTTAAACCTCCCATCCCCAATTTTTCATGAAAAAATATTTTTCTGAGTATTCCTGTAGTGCTATTTCTACATGAAAACATCTTGCTGTAAAAGAACATAACTTAAATAATATTACAACCATAAAATTTCTTTATTACTTATGATGTCTTATGTCAAAAATATTTTTACTTCTCATTCAAACATACTAGAAATTGTGATCTTCTGTATGAACTAAGGTTTCAAACAAGGCTGATATCCATTAATTAAGAAGTATGAAATATGTTAGTGTTTTTGTGTTCTGGGTTACTTCTCGACAGCTGTATGTATTTTCTAGCTTCAATTTGTTCAGTAAGAGTGAAAGTTAGTTCATTATTTTTAAAAGGACAATTTGCTGTTTTTCTGAAGAAACTTACACATTTTATAGTTCCACAAGTGTCAGAAGTACAAACTATAATTCTTGTTTACCTAAAATTCATTTTAATCCTAGACTGTGCCTTCAGAGTTTGTTTTAATGATGATGGAGATACAAATGAGGCAAACCTTTACGTCTTCTTTGAATTCCTGGGAGGAAACTTTTGCTTGGTTTCAAGTGGCTGTATTTTGCTATGAATCATTAAGAATATTTTCAGTGATCTGTGACATAATATTTTAATCTCATTGGACTTTAAAAGTATAATTTATAATGTTAAGGTTAAAACATTGATTTTAAAAGAGTATTAAGATTACATATAAATATTCTATGAATTAAATAAGCCAATGAATTTATAATAAGTGCTTCATGAATACTAGAGAAATTATGTAAGAAAGTGACCTTCTTGTAGATGATTTAGATAATGTAGATCAGATAATGTGAATAACAGATTCAGAAAATGTATCTTCTTTAGCTCCAGAGTATTTCTGTATCTCTACAATTTCCACTTGAGAAAACACCTCTCCTGACATTAAATATATTTTTATTGCTCCCTCTTTTCCCTTTCGCAGCTCAAATTATCTAGCTTATTCATTCTGCTTGTTCTTTTTTCCTGCACTGCTGATCCCTTACCATGACTCACCTTTCTTGACTACTGCAGTGTTAAGCTGATTCTCCTTCTTCAAAACGTTGTCAAAGGTAAATAAGTACTTAAATCATATTTTTCAAAATTCAAAAATTGCATTCTTCGTAATTTAAAACAACACCTAACATAACCAAAGTCAGTTTTTCTCTAATTTTAATATAATTTATGGCATTTTGTAATTGTTCGTATGAAAGTACCTGAAAATAACAGTGACAAAGTACACAGTTTTCAGAGAATTTTATGCCAGTGCTGTTCAATAGAACTTTCTGTTTTAAATACTTGCATTGTCTGATATGGTCCCAACTGACTGTATATGTTATTTGAATGCTAAAGATTTAGTGCAATGAAAGAAGTAAATTTTAACTTAGTTTAATTTTAAGTAATTTGGATATGAATATCCACATTCAGTCAGTGGCTACCATTATTGAATAGTGCAGAGAGACCATTAGCGACTCATGTTTTCCTATTTAAGCAAGATCTCCATAGAGTAATGCTAGTTTCATTCACCAGTGAATGACTCTTTCAGACTCTTTCAGTGAAGAGTTTTACAATGAAACCTGAAGAAAAATGTTTGTGAATAGGTCAATTAATGGGAAAACTTAGAAGATGCAATTGCCTGCCTGAAGCCAGTGCTTTCTCTTTGCAGAGTTCCTTCCCCTATTTGAGTTGCTGTCCTCTCTTCTCTTTTTTACCTCCCATAGCAATTTATGCCTGTTTCATAGTTATTGTCAAATTCTATCCTGTGTTACTGTTATTTATGCACTTGGCTTACACTCTCTTCTAGAGACTGGAGACTAGAATTCAGGACAGAAGTCTGGCTGATCTTTCCACCCTTCAAAGGTTTGGCTAGTAATTTAAACAATTAACACTGTCCAGGGTTGGATGCATAAGGTGTCTGTCTTGTGGAGGCTAATAGTCTGAAGGTGATCATCAATTGGAGGTGTGTCAGTCTCTGCTGGGTGCCCAGAGTTTAGATAAGATGCATGACCTCTGTTTGATATTGTGTGTTGCCTTTGATTTCTGCTCACGAGTGGCTGTGGTGAACTCTGACTTCACACTCATTTGACATGGCCTTCCTCTGTGACCAGGTTGACTGTTTCCTTTACTTTGTTCTCTTTCCTCCGTTTTGGCAATTTTGTCTCTAACACTCATAGTTCTGTGTTGAGACTTTGACTTCTAAAGCAAATTACTTTAGGTGGAAGGGCGAATGTCTCCAAATGTTTTTCCCCTTCATATGTTACAGTAAACCAGCAGTGAAACTAGGATGAAACCCCATGCCGTTCTCTTTATTACTCAGTCTGTTCCATGCTGTTATCCACCTACTCTGTGTAAGGAACAATCTTGTAGCAGTTATGGCTTGGTAATAATGGTAGTATATTTGGAAAAGTAGCCACACAGTGGATTTAAGTTGTTAGGCAGAACAGACAGGTGAAGGCATGCAACTGTTAACAGCTTCTCTGTTGTTAAATGGCTACAGCACCCTGGGATTAGAAATGCGTTGATATTTTCTTACTGGTTACCAAACTGTGTCTGTTGAACATCTGTGAGCACAAAATTATCCACCCTGTATACCTTTGACCCGTTTCATTTGAACTGTTTGGATGTGAACTTTTTTTTTTGCCACTAAATCTCAATGCAGGGTGTGAATCACAGCTGGGTGATGATAGGTAATTGGATAGGGAATTTACCAAGGCTATGAGAGCATCAGAGATCCCATGTTCTCAAAGGAAAGAATTTTTCAAAAAAGGAAAGCAATATTGGGAGGAGCAATTAAACACAAATTTTTCCTGAGGAAAATAAGCTAATTTAAAGAAGAATTTGGTTTTAAAAACAGGCCAAATGTTGTATCAGAGTACTTAAAATTGCACAGCCAAATTGTGTCTCAGTATTTCCTCAATGCTTTAATTAATACATCTTTTAAAAGCTCATGTTTTAAGGATTGGATATATATTAAAAAATGTGTCTCCTTCACCATGGGTACTTTGCCAGATGGAATTTACATCACCTCAGTAGTTACAAATGTTCAATGCATACTGCCTTAGTACAATTTTATAAAATGAAATTGGTAAATTGACACTTTCTAACCCCCAGCACTTCTTTGAAGCTAACATTTTTAGTTTATAAGATTATGCAAAATAAAGATGACTTTTTGTTCAATGACAGAGTTTATTTTTCATAAACATTATCAAATTGTTTTCATTAAAAAAGGAGTTAAAATAAAATGTGCATTTGTCTCAGAGAGTATGCTCTATCCTGGGGAAAAGTGGATGGGTATTAAAATTTTCCAACTGGGTTTTAACATACAGTAGTCAGAAACACATACTTAGATTTAGTCAACAATTTTCTCTGTGTTAGCCTTGCTCTTGGAGCAGCTGTGTTGAACAGAATAAAGTAAGTGTTTTAATGGTAAATGGAATAAATTAAAGTACTTCACATATGTTTCAGTTTGCCAATAAGCATTTGTGTAAGTTTTCAACTAAAATTATTGATTTATATTGTTTAAAAATTAAATATTTTAGCATAATTAGCTATAGCTTTACAGGACCTACTGTAAAGTCAAAAGAATTCAAACTAGTCCAGAAAATTTCTCATTCAATTTCATGGTGCTGTAAAATGGTAAAATGGTGAATTGCATACAAGATAAAGAATTTCACCTGGAAACTTGCTGAGTCTTACCTGGGATAGCTAATTCCTTTCTTGTCCTTATATCTCCTTTTCCTTTATTTTTTTGCTAGAAGAAATACTTGGCATATGGTTTAAGGGCAGAGAGTTTTCTGAATAGTTGATCTAAGGACTTCATTTGGACCAAATTTAAAATGAGTCAGTGGTGATGCAGATGCTGAAAAATAGAATTCTAAGAGCCATAACAGAAGCCCCACATCCAGATGTTTTGACAGCACTCTGGAAATACTGTACCAAGAGAAACTTGACAAAATACTGAGTTTCCACAGGAGTGACCTAGAGGCTGAGGGATTTGGGTGATTATGATTCTTTCTTTAAGTATGTATGAATGAATGCGAGAGAATTACTTTAACATCGTTCCAACAAGCCAAATGGGACTCATGAGTGAAGACAGCAGTAAGCAGAGTACAGTTGGTGTTGTTCACCTCTCTGTATTACTCAGCTGTTCAGCTGCTGGGAGAAAATACTTGATGCCCATGATTTAAGACGGAGAAATTTAATTTGGCTCACATTTTCAGGTGGCTGAGACCATCAAAAAGTACTCTATGAATGATTTAAAAACATGTGTACCACTTTCAGGAAAAATACCCAGGTGGAAGCTGAGAAATTAATCAGTGTCTTCATACAAGGTATTATTATACAGGTCTCATTTGATGTTCTCTACTCTCCCAAACCTAACATGCTATTTGTTTTTCTTTTTTTTTTATAGTTTCATATTTATTTCTCACTTTAGAGAAAGCTGCTTCATTTGTGTTACTAAACTAGAATAATTTACATAGATATCCTTATAGCAGACATAATGAATATTTAGCTAAACATTTCATAACAGCTAGAATCATTTCTGTTACCCTGAAAAAACAAGGTTAAAAAAATAAAACCAACCGTCTTAAGTGTCTTGAAGTGTTTTTAGTTTAAATACTACTTTATATAAGTATATATTTTTCAAATATCTGAGCCACTGTACTTATTGATACCAGAAGCCTGAATAACTCCAGATTTGGGTTTTGACTTAAGAAGTCACACAAGAGAGATCCAGTGAGCAGAGCAGGCACCTTGATTTTGTGTAATTGGGTTAGGATTCCAGAAGCACACAGGAGTCAGGCAGGCAAGCAGAGGCTAAGAAAAACTCTTAAAAAAATAGGTACAGGCCCTGGCGCTTACCGCAGACCTTGCCTCTATAAAGACTATTTCCACTGGGACTTGGAGGGGAAGCAGGAAGTGCAGAGGCTGGGCAGGAACATCCCTGGAAGTGACGGTGTTGTTGTTGCGCCAGCTGCTCTGGCTGCCAGGTATTTGACAAATTGTTTAATACCAGGAATTCATAGGACTGCATTTTAATAGAATATTTTGCAGTACCAAAGTCCTGCTGAGGATCATTTCCAGAGGCAGCTGTGGTTCGCATCACCTTTCTACGGTTTTCTATGATGGTTTTTTCCTCAAACCCCTACGTTGCTGTTGACACCAGGTCTTGAACACAAACACTGCAGGTAAATGGGGTGTCAGGATGCTAAATGAGACAACTTATGCTCTTAAATGCATTGCTGGTCTTTAATTTGAGCCTTTACTAACCTTTCACTGTGCGTTATGTCTTTATATAGAACCAGAGAAGAAAACAAGATTCATGGGATTCGGTGCACAGAAATTTAAGAGCCCAGCAACCCCTCACTAAATTATCCATTCATTATTCCAGGTTAGATTAAGTGGCACCTAACGCACACTTCGCTTTCTCGCTGGACATATTCAGAGTGACTTCCTCTTTCAATCATTCTTTGCATTATTGGCAAGGTTAACATTTTAAATCACAGCTATAAATGTGTCACATTGTCAAAGATCACCTGTGGCAATCCCCTATTTGGGACCAAGTTAGACTTTTTTATTATTAAGATATGTTTGTGGTACATATTAATTACATTCCTTTTGGAGAAAGGTAGATATCCATATGGCATCTTGAGCAAAATTTCTCTGCCACCCATTGCTACTTAGTGTGTTCCAGATTTTACAAACACAGCACATAGCCTAACCCCGTTGTGTTTTTGTTTGATGTTTTGCTTCTGCTGGTTTTTGTTTTAGAGATTTCTTTCCCCTATGATATTTTCCCTATATATTTCCCCCAACATTTCTGAGGGATGACATGTAATTTATCCTTCCCAACTTAAAATGAAACAATACCTTTTCTGGGACTTTCTGATTGTCTCAGAAGAGTAATATTATCTCATGGGCCTGCCCCTCAGTTGGTACGCTTTGCTACATTGCAACATAATTTTCTTCAGTATGAATTGTTCTTCCCTCTAGATTGCAACCTCCTGAAGAGTGGGAACAGTGATGCTTATTTTTATAATTTCAAGTCTGGTGTGGTACTTGGTAGATGTACTATACATAAAATTCAATTCTGTCCCACAATAAATACATGCTAAGTAAATTTTGAATGTAACTGAGCTGTATCTGTTGACCATTCTAATTTCTCAGGTGTCTGTTGGCTTTAAAATTCTGGGATTTAATATAGTACTCTGGGGATTTAAGTGTTATTGTGCAGTTCAGGTGGGACTGGCTTCATGGAATGTATTCTTTTAAGTGGTAAGTTAAATTTCTGTATGGATTGCTAAATAGGAAAATTCAAGGTCAGAAATCAACATGATGCTAGGTATTTTTAGCATTTATTGGTTTTCCAAGTATATGCGACTTTTGCTTATGAAATGAGCTTTGCCTTTCTCTGTAGGATTCGTTCTGGTTTTTATGGGATGCCTCAACTGAAACATTCACAGGATGTGTAAGAGGAAGGGTGTACATATATTTTGTGAGGTTTCCCTACTTACTGTTGCTCTCCTACATACCAGCAATGATGTAAACAGTATTAATATGAGCTACATGAGGTTATTTGTCCCCTCTGGCAAAATGAATTCCCCATGAGTGGATATAGTGTTACAGTTACTTGAAATGAACTTAGCTAGTGTTTATAATCCTCTGCTTGATGTTTTATTATTTCATATATTTATTATTTTTAAAAATATTCTTAACATTAGACTAACTCTGGATGCCAGCCTGGAAATGAATGTCACCATTAGAGTAAATATCAGAAAAAGATAATCTTGTGGCAATGGTGAGCTGTCAGGGAAAATGAGATCTGGTCTGATAGTGTGTAGAAATGGATCCTCAAACACACAGACGTTTATTCCTTCCTCCATCCATGTTCCCTCAAAACAATGGCAAATTCGTATTTGACATCAAGTGTTTCCTCCTGGGCTTTGCCTAAGCTCCAGCTTATTGTTTCTGGCAGCTTTCTGGCCAGGGCCTCGTGGGTTCAGCCGCAGGCTTTGGCCAATCCTGGACCTGGCCAATGGGTGGGACTGGATGTAAGTGCAGAGGGAATGGTTTATGTGTTTATTACAGCAGACCCCAGCAGTGGGCCTGCTAGTTTTTCCTTTCATAACCGTTTTTGCTGAGAGGCTTGAAGTTTAATCTTTTTAATTTTATATCAGCTGAAAAGTCATCATTAAGGAAATACTGCTTTTTTTTCTTTGTAAGTTAAAATCTTGTCTGTTATACCTCGTAGAGATACTACTTAGTGAATAGTTTTTAAGTGGCTTTAGGAATGAAAAGAAATAAAATTTACTTAGACTTCCTCATTCTCTTTATTTTGCGGGATTAAAAATATTAAATGCACAAATAGTCTTTCTATCACTTGGAAGGGATGAGTAGTGACCTAGAAAAGAATATGAATTTTCTTCAAAATTTATACCAGAGTCTGTCTGCAGGGTAGGTGTTTACAGTGTATCCTTGCTTCCGCTCTTCACCACATAACTCCGAATCAACAAGAAACTCATTTCTTACTGCTGAGTACCAAGACTTTTAGAGGGCCTGCTTGACTCCTATTAGTATTTCTTATTAAATACTACGGGCATTTGGTTCCACCTTCTGCACGAGAAAAAGACTAAATCTGAATATGAAAATTTCCACCAGAATTCACCAGTGTGGGTTTAGTTCCATGAAAATATAATGTCTTTTAAAATTAAGCATCTACCAAACACCTACCAAATAACATGTACCAAAGAATTCCTGGGCCCCTAGAAGGGTCCAAAAATTCTGACAATTCCTTTCCTGTCTACCATCTAGACTGCCTATTTTTTAAAAAGGCCTTTTGTAAAATTTGCCTACTAGTGTATATCACATCATGAAATGAAAATGCTCCTAAGCAATTAATTTAAGTTTAGAACATTAGAGCTACCATGTGCTGACCTCTCATTTTCTTACTGTAAAAGCCACTCTCTTTTTATCATTTCCCTTCATCCTCATGGCAGCCCCACAAGAGCACATTGTTACCCACACTCAGCAGATGAATACTGTGAGTCATTTTCATCGATGACCCACAGTCATACCATGGTGTACTGGGAACTAAAATCAGAATTTCCACATATTTGACTCCAAGTTCTGCACCTCATTTTCTGCAGTAGGCAATTTCCATAAATTCAGTACATCAGGAATAATTTTTTAGAATGAAAATCACCATGGGATTTTTGGCCTACAAGAACTTTAGAGAACCGAGAGACATTGTACTAACTAAATTCTTTTCATTCCTATTCTTTTTAAGCAAGCTCCCCACCCACCCCCAATTTTCTTGTTAATCAGGGAAAAAGAGTAATAAAACAGACTAGAACCCATCTTATACATATTAACAATAGGTAACACTCATCCTTGGATGTGTGACTAATTTTAACAGCCCTTTTGTTATGGGTTGGATCCTAAATATCCCATAAAGGTCCTATGCTGAGGGCTTGGTCCTCAGCTGATGGTATTTTTGGGATGTGATGGAGCCTTTGGGAGGTGGAACTGGTGGGAGGAAGTTAGGTTATTGGGTGTTTCTTTGAAGGTTACCTTGCCCTTTTCCAGTCACTGTCTGTCTTGGTGCCCCTCCTCCCTTCCCTCCTGCCATGAGTTAAACAGCTCTGTTCTGCCATTGCTCTCTGATACAGTGTTCTGCTTTGCTAAAGGTCCAGAGCAACGAAGCCAAGCTGGAACCTCTGAAACCGTGAACCAAACCAGGATTTCTTCATTTCATATTGAATTTCTTAAATACTTTGTCTTAAAAAACTAATGGACACACTCAACCACTCTATTAAAAATCCATTTCCAAAAAGTCTTTTTGTAACTTGTAATTATTCTAAATTTCAAATATATTTGTATTGTTATGATAGTGCTATTAACTTAATACAGAAAAAAAATTTCAAACTTAGAACCCTATGATCATAGAAAAAATTTAAATCTCTAGTTTTACTTTCTATACATATTTTGACATAGGAAAATGTGATTGGGTAAATAAAAATAGGCTTTGAAGATTAAAGTGTATTATATTTGAATAAAATTCTATGATGGATATAGGAAGAAATATAAGTTCAAGAAAAAAATGGGATAATGTAAAATTTTGATCAAGTAGATAATGGTTCATCAATGTCAAATGTTTTTTGGTATTAGACACAGTTGGGTACATTTAAAAGAATGATGAAGCAGTCTTACATAATATGTTTACACTTACTGTTCCTTACATCATCAGTAAAAAAATAAAATGCATGGTAAATTATAATAATAAAAATAAAATAATAATAATGGTAACAGTAATGCTCTGGAAGGGTTAATCCTCTAATAGGTAGCATTTTCATATTTCTATAGTGGGGCTAATTTTACCAAATGAATGGCAAACTTCCTGTAAACTTAAAAATTGACTCTTGCAACTTTACAGGCTGACTCCTGCAGAGTGCTTATAATATATTGTTGAATGTGAAAATAAAAATGTACAAAGGCTACACTAATTTCAAGTACCTTTGTTTGAAAGCTGTTGCAAATTTCTATGGTAAAGTTATTTGAAGTGGAAATAAATGTCCCCAGCGTTGTGTGCACATTGGACCTCTCCTTCAGCTCGCCACAGTGATCTCCTGAGATGACTCCTCAAATAGGCTACACATAAGAATTGGAACTTTGAAAAACATTTCAGATCTTAGAGCCCAATCTCATACCTACAAAGTCAGCATCCCTAATGGTGGTGCCCACTCATGTTTATTTTTGCAAATACCACAGATCATCCTGAGGAAGCGAGCCCAGCACTCCTGCCTGCTGTATGAAATCAAAATAAGGGAAAACAAGCATTGAGACATATGTCTTTTCTCACCCTTTTAACATAAAACAATTAGGAAACTTCAGCAGGCTGACTGTGCTTCCTTTACCACAGAGCTGAGGAAAATTTGTAAGACAATTTCCTTCGGTAGTGGATGAATAATTAACCTCTGAATCAAAATTTGGGCAACCCTCAATTACAGAATGAGAAGAAAGATGGGTCATTTTCAGGGATGAGAAAAAAATAGTGCCTAGGATCTTGATCTAAAGCCAAGGAATGTGCCTGGGAAGCAACCCAGCTCCTGAAAATTTGGTTTCTCTACCTTTCCTAGCACCCCTGCTATGATTCAAATGCTTCCCAAATTCATGTGCTGGAAATTTAATGCCCAAAGCAGTGCTGCTGGGAGATGGGACTTTTTGGATTAATGCCACTATAAAAAGAGCTTAGTGAGTTGTTTCTCTTTTGTGCTTCTGCCTGTGAGGACACAGAAGGTTGGTACGCATTGGATATTCACTCCTTGATCTTGGACATCCAGCTTCCAGAATGAGAAAGAAGAATAAATTTCATTTCTCTGTAAATTATCCAGTTCGGTTACTGGTGTAACCACACAAAACAGACCAAGTTTCTGTTATCGCCCAAGTCAACCTTTGGGACATTTTCCTATGGTTCAAAACCAACAGTAGTAGGAGGCTGGAAGAACTGAATGAAATCGTGTATCGGAAGTGGCTTTGAAAGGTTTTTGGAAAGCTAAGCTTTGTATTTGAGGTATGAAGAGAACAAACTATTATTTTAATTCCAATTTGCTATGCAAGAACAGCAGCCAATGACCTCCCAGACGTGTATATGTCTGACTCTCCTCTTCTCCCTACTCAGTTCTCTGGGACTCAGGGTGACTTCGTTGTTTGGGGAGAGTTAGCTCTCAATGGACTGACCCTGTGGGTCTTATCATACTTTATTATGCATGAAATCCCAGTTTGAGATCTAGATGTTGGGGTCTTTTCCTGCAACTCAGAGCTCCTCTACAGCGTCTGTTTATCACTTAGGACCTCGGTTGCTATGTGTTCTTCGTGTTGATTGTGCCTAGGGATGAGAATAATTCCATCAAATTTACTAGTGGAAGAGAAATATACCAAGCTTCAAGGAACAGCACTGTCTTCTCTCACTCCTTCCTTTTCACTGTTCTCTGATCCCTGGAGTAGGTATTTCAGTAGACAATCCCCGTAATTAGTCCCAATACAGGACTAAAGACATCTAAATCCTTCCTGAGAGTGTGAGAATTGCTCTTCCACTATTGTTCTGAGTAGAAGATTGCCTTGAGGGAACCGAGACTTGCCAATTGGATGGAGCTTTCCACTTGAATTTCCTTTGTCATTCCCAGGAGGGCCTTGGAATATAAAGTGTGTACTCAAAGTCATTATAGGTTATATTTTCATTTAGGGCATATTAAAGCATTTGTGTGAGCAATTACTATTAGATGTTTCCTGCTGAGGCAGTCCCAGGTGCTAAAGAAGTTGACTTATTTGCTATGAGAAAACACATTACTCGTATTAATAAGCACAGTGTCTTTTGTCAAGCTAGATTTCCCATGGAATGTTATAAATGTACTGGAAAGCACAGAGACTGCAATGTAACTACATCCATCATGCTACAGCATAACAGTAGATTTCCAGTTTAAGTAAAGGCCATGATTGGCTCTTCCTGGTCTTATTCTCCTCTTGCCCTTCACAGAGGGAGCCATTGTCTTGAAATTGATTTCTTCCTTTCTTATGCATGACTATATTTTTACTGTTTGCATACATTTTCATAAATTAGATGAATGGATGAATGTTTAGAGAATTTGCATATATGGAATAAAATTGTAGTATAAATCTGCAATGTTTACCATTATTTAAAACGTTTCTATGTGGAGTATATAGTTTCATAGCATTCAAGTTTTCTGTTTTTTTTTTTTTACTGTGAATATATATCAACTTATTTGAAATTTCTCTTAATTTTTGAATTCTTACAAAAATTGCATACAGCTTCTTGTGTACATGAGCACACAGTTTTCTACATTGTATACCTAGAGATGGAATTACTTGGTTAAACTTCATCTTTATCAGGTCATTATTACTGGATCAAGAAGCTCTTCCAACATGTTATTTTCTAACAGTCTTAAAATCCACTTTGAACATTATTTTTTAATCCATTTAAAATTAGTTTTTGCATCATGTGTAACAATGATCTTTATTTTGTTCAACATAGAAGTAATTTATCATAGTAAAATGTGACCGACCTGCTTGTTTCCCACTGGTTTACTGTGCAGTGTACCTAATTTCCACATTTCTGAGCTGTTTCTTCTGTTCTATTGTTCATCCACTTCTATACCAATACTACATTGCCTTAATTTCCCTAGTTGTATAATAAGATTTGACTCACTATAGGTAACTTTTTTTCTTTAAAATTATCTTATTCACTGCTCTTCATTTTTCCACACAAATTTTATTATCATCTTTTGACATTTTGCAATAAACCTACTATAATTTTGATTGGAATTAAAGTGCATTATAGATTAATTTAGGGAACACAATGTCTTCAGTTAGTGAAATTTTTTCTGTGTGTAAGACTTCTTGATGTCCTTCAATGTTTCAATACACGATGCACAGCTGTTTTCAGATTTATTCCTGTGTATATAGAGGTTATTTTCCATTGTCACTGTTTTTTTCTCATCACCAGAATTTATTTTAATGTTCAGAATTTGATGAACCCTTCCAATCTGAGCTCTGAAACTTTCTTCAACTTAGAGAAATTTTAATTTCCCTCTGTTGTCTTCTTTCTTTTCAATTTTTCTTTTGATGTTGAATTTCTTATGTTAAATCTTCATGGTCCTTGGTTTTTAAATTTTTTTATTTTAAAGAGGATAAAACAGGATAAAACCAATCAAAACAAACCAGTGTAAGAGATACAAGACTTCAAAACATTACAAAATCAACAATAGTTACCATAATGCCTTTTGATGTCTTCAAAACAGCTGCAGATAATTTCCGATATAGTAAAAAATCCAACAGAACAGAATAGAGTAGAAACAATAAAAACAAGACAATGAATGTAATAAAGGACTTTAGAATAAGCCAATAGTAAATCCAAAATTGATACCAAAATATATCTTGCTATCTTTGAAATAGCTGTTCCTGCCATCGGATTTGACATAATTGAACAAAACAAAAGAGAATAAAACCCAACCCAGTAAACAATGGAAATGATATAGGACATATTATACTTGAAATAAATATGGTCGAAACAAGACCACAGGGAATCAACAGTGGCTACAATCCGTAGAAGATCCCTCCTAGATGTCACAACTGTGTACCACCATCCTCTGAATCCATGATCAGACCACTGACCTTAGGCCTGCAATGTTAGTGAAACACCAGAGCACCACAGGCATCCAATTGTATTTCACCTCCATAGCTATCATCACAGTCTGCATTTCTCCACATAAGCCAGTTGCTTACGCTGGAGGTAGGGTGGAGGGATGTTGGTACTTCTTGTTTGGCAGCCTGCATACTGGAAGGGGCTGGAGTCTGGCTGTGCCAGACCAGTGATAGCTCACACATGGCACTGGTTTCCAGACTCACTTGGTTTTTTAAGTTGTCTTTTTGTTGTATGTTTTATAAGACTTTCTTGACATCATCTTCTGAATTATTCTAATTTTCAGGTATACCCCTTCTGCTATTTGGTCCATTTTTTTTTTAATTTTCAGCAGTCATGTATTTAATTTTGAAGGACTCTTCTTTTCTGCTTGATTTTTTGAAACTAGCAAAATTTTTCTTTTATGAATCAAATATGCTGAAAGTATTATTTAGAATATTTTAAAAGTTCTTTATATTTATTTTTCTTTAGTGTCAGATATTGTTTGATAATTTTGACTCTTGTCTTTCTTGATTGCTTTTTCTAAAACTTCTGTATCCCTCAGGGCCTGCATTTCTGTGTAAGGCTGATCAGGATAGGTACTGAGTATGGATTTTCTCCAGTACCTGGATACA